AAGAATTCAAGAATCAGGTGACTACAATCCATGCAGACGACTTGGGTGTGTCTGAAAATTTGATTTAACCCCCTCTTAATGGTCATTTGCAGAATCTGATCATTCACCAATGAATCTGGAGAATCTAATTAACTCCAAATTTTGAAAAAAAATGCCGATGTTCATGGTTAATTGCAAGTACTTGCCACAATTAAAGTACTTTTGGGAATGTAATTAACCCCAAGTCATCACCATTTTTGTAGGTCATTACTGGATATCACCATTTTTTCTAGGTCATTTTGTAGGTGGTACCCTCTGGTAAACTAACATAACTATGGAAAATCACCATGTTTAATGGGAAAGTCCACTATAAATGGCCATTTTCAATAGCTATGCAACAAATTACCAGATGGTATCTTCACCATTCCCAGTCATGGCTGGTTGAAACGGGCGTGGCTTCGTCCGAGGCACAAAGGAAGCGTTTCGGAGCAGCTGCAGGGCCCGAAAAATTCACCCCGTCCACCTGCGGGTTCGACAAAGACCCAGGAAGATTTTTGAGTGTTAAACAATGTTTGATACACATCATATACCCTCTGGTAATTTGTTACATAACTATGGAAAGATCCACCTTATTTTTCATGGGAAAATCCACTATTTCTATGGCCATGTTCAATAGCTACGTTAGTCATTGCCAGAGGGTGTATATATATATATATAATGTCATTATGTTATTGGGTGATGTTTAATTTTGGTGGCACCAATAATCTCAGTAGGGATATATTTCAAGAATCTTAGTGAGGATATGGTTGTTATCCCCATATACACAAATAAATATATATATATATAATTGTATATATATATAATTACATAGGGATTATTAATTAATATTAGTTATATATGGCACTAAGTGGGATGCCTATCCAAGAGTAGATACTTCAACTTCAGCGAAGGTTTGAATCAAGAGTTGGATCATTTGCCAATTTTTGGGCCTCTATGATCCCAGTGAAAATCCGAAATTCTGGTGAAATCACCATTGGAACGGGCACTCTGAAGGCACAAAAAACTTGTATTGACTGAGGGTCCTTAAATGAAACAGAAATCCCAGATTTCACTGTGGTTCGACCAAGGTCATCTTCAGCAAATCCAGATCCAAGATCTATCCAGCTCCCTCAAACAGCGCCGCATTTTTCCACCGGCGCGTTTCCTGCGCTGCGGCCCCTGACGGCAACCAGAAAGTCCTCAGGATACTGAGATTGGATAACCCAAAGAAAGAACGGATGGCACGAGACTATCAACACTGGCTACCCCAAAAAATGACAGATGGTGTAACTACATCTGGGTAAATTATAATGATTCACTAACCTGAAATAAGGCTGTCATAGGCTATCTTTAAAATGATTCCCCTTACAAACCAGGATTATACGCAGTGAGGTCGTTATAATCTACCCAGATACATCTAAATAGCCGGTAAAACTCATCAGCACTGGATTCTGGAACCCAAAACCATCAATCTCCTGAAGCGCCTGCCAGTACTCAGCTGCTTGCGTTACCTGTCGTCGCTTGAAACGCTCAGAACTGGCATGATCCATAGTGAAAAAAAAAAACACGCTTATATAAATTCTCAAGTGTCATAGCTGAACCCCAACTTTGCATGGTGAAATTATCATGTGTCATAGAAAAATCACAATTTTCCATGATGAACTCTCATGTTGTATAGCTAAATCCCCATTTTTCATTGCTATATCATATATCTTCATGTGTAGTTAAATCGTTATATTTTCCATGGTTAAGTTAAATCCTCATTTCTCATAGCCAAATCCCTATGCTCCCTGATGAAATCTTCGCCTCAAGCCCCGGTAAAAAAAAAACTGCTTCTAGTGGCGGAAACTTCGAGCTATTCCTGCAATGGATTTTCTTAATGATCCCTTGTCAACAGCTATGATTGGAACTCAAATAACCCTAAACCAATGGTTTTTTGACATAGCATTTGAGTTCTATTAAGCTATGGAAAACCGGAGCTATTTGTCAAAAACCATTGGTTTAGTGTTAATAAAAACACTAATGGAAAACCATAGCTATGGAAAACCATCATTTACAAACGGACCACTGTCACCATTGTCCATTGCTATGTGGGTCATTACAACAGGATAAGCCAATGCAAATGGAGAAACCCTTGAGTCGTTCGATGTTTTTCCAGCTAGAAACCTCCATCTATAGTGAATTTCCCAGCCGTGTTGGATTACCAGATGGTATACCATGACTAATTCTTCATGATATAATCCATTATTAATCCACTATAATTATTAATCCATCTATATTATTATGATGGTATAATCCATTATTAATCCACGATAAAAAAGGGGTTTTCAGCCCCAGATGGTAAATCCCAATTTTTTTGACCCCTCCAATGCTTGGCGTCTCGCCTCATTATGTCCTTTGCCTTCCAGCAGCAGCAGCCGCTTCTGAGATCTTGCCGCCTAAGCGCAATTCGACGCGGATGTGATGGGCACATGGCAGGGGATAGGATATATGAAACTATTTATCATATGTCTGTAATATAATATGCATATATACCTGACTATAGATCTATATATATATATATTCAGTTCTATACACGTAATTATGTGATATTTTTGTATTTTTTTCTCAACCCCCATCTGGATATATTTTTTGTAGAATCCAATGCTAAATTCGTGGCATCCAACCTTTTCTGCATCGGGCGCTGCTACAAGGTAGGCCAGCGCCAATGTGAACACCAGAATGGTTGGCAAAGGATCCATCACCATGTCAAATCCTGGTCACATCTGACTATATGTTGACCAGATATGTTCCCATTATTTCAAGATATGATGGGAAATATGATTGTATGATGGGAATATTATACCAGATATATCATGGGAATACCAGCTATTTGTCACATCATTTCTTGCTATCTAAGCCATACCCACATATGTTCCCCTTGCTTTTTGTCAAAAGCACCTCAAAGCACGGCAGGGCTTGGTGGTGCGGGCACACCACATCCTCCTTGGCTTCATCAGAGCAGCCCCCCCAAGGTAGGTGAGTTGGTAAACAGATCTGGGCTAAGCTAAGAATTCGATTTATGGATAGTTACGGATAGTTAGTCAATGTTTAGTCAATGATATTTGTGGATATTTATGGTGGATCTATTCAAGTAGTTAGATGCTTCTCATGGGACAACATAAACCAACAAACTTCACATTTGGGGCCTTCACCTCGAAAAATCTACAAAAATCACAAACCTAGTCCAAAAAATCTACCCTTCACACTTCTTCATGAGTTTATGGTCTTTGCCAATCGGTTTCGGAGCCAAGCTGCCGTGCCATTGATGTACAGCAGCGGCAGATCAAGGGCAGCCAGCAAATCCTGGAGACGTGATGGTCATCCCAACAACTCCTAGGTGTTTTTATATTTCATGGTGATATGTCATGGGATTTCACCAACAAGATATGCTGATGTCATATTATGGAAAACTTTACAAAAATGATGATTTAAACCATGGAAAAATGTTGATTTAACCATGGAAAAATGTTGAGAGTTTGTAATTTCCGGTCTCATGAAACATGTTATGGGCCGCTGGGAAATCCCCGAATTCAATGGGCACGTGGGAAAATCATCGAACTGGGGAATTGTCCAGCAGGCCGTGTCTGATTACCAGAGGACGTATGTAGTTCATGGTCATCCTAACACTCCTAGGAATTCCGTAGAATGGGTGTATTGACCCCTTTGATGCCCATTTTGCCGTATGGGGAAAAATAATCAAAGTTTCATGGCACGACAAAATCAGGATGGGAAACACATTTGGGGATGCGTTAAAAGCCGGTACCGCTGGTGAACACCAAGGTTTGGCCTTGCAAATTGATGTTCATCCTCAGGGAATGGCATAAGGGAACCAAAAATAAGGGAAATATATTCCTAAGAGTTAGCCTATCATCTTTTGGGGGCTATGATATGGTTAATGGGTTATAGAAGGAACTAAGGTTTGAGATCTCAGAGGTGAACTTCTGTGATAACTCGTGGGGAATTGCGGGGATACGACTCCATATCCATGGTAATTGGGGAATGTCGTTGGGATCTCTCGGGGACATAGTGGCTTAATGGGATACCATCAACAAGCGAGGGTAATAGTCCGTTTAGAACTGGAACTAACAACTGTGATGCTAATGATCCGGAGATTGTGGGCAATATACTTTGGATTGCGCCCCAGCCTGAAATGCGTGCTGATTTGGGGATTGATTCTCTTTACAAAGCATTGTCTGTGGTGACATCGTTGTGAGGTCGTATTGAACTCTGCCATGTACCATGTATATTTGGCAAGTTTCAAACAAATCATAGGAACATACTGCTTACATATCTATCATCTATGCACACCTATACTACAATGCAGGTACATGTGCGTCATGTACATCTATGAAGGTATGTTGTGTACATGTCTTCAAACCCCAAAACAGAAAACCAAAACAGCGGAAGAGGTCTCCAGTGGTCTGATCATCGCTATCAATATGGAGGTTTCCCAGTCGTCATGGGGGTACCCCCAATCATCCCAGTCATTAGACTATTCAAGTATTGAAACCCATGGTTGTTACTTGGGGATCCCCCATTTAAGAATCCCCATATCTATCAAATATACTATCCCCGCACTACCAAACATGACGACCCTTCCGTTCATAGGTTGGAAGGTTGGAAGATAAGTATTTTCACCAAAACTTGGCGATGTTGGGGTCGAGGTCTATCCTACTTGGGAGAATGGTAAATGGTTTAACTTCAAATAGGATTCCAGTGGTGTTGTTGCTTAAGTCACATTGATATATTGTACATTGGTTGGTTGATCGATGTTTTTCTTGGATTTTCGAGTTCATGGATTTTGATAGTCCCCTTTATTTCAAAAAGGCCAGGGGATAACCGCGGAACTAATCATCAACCAACAAGGGTTTAACAGCCACTCTTCATTTGATGTTCAATTTCGGATGAAATCAGAAATTTACACCGGGCATCAAACAAGATCAAACAAGGTCCTCGGTTTCCAAATAGCATTGTTCCCTGCTCTTCTGCAATTTTTGCGCCGTCGCAGTGGTGCAACACATGCACACTCCTCAGGAGCGCATCAGATTTGAAACTGCCCTTGGTATTGCTTCATACTGTGGATTTTTCAGAAATCCTGCACCTGATAGATGGTAAACATCCCATTATTTATAGGGTATAAATACCATCCTTTTGGTGGTGCAGGATTTCGCAACCATCCACAGTAGGGATTCCCATATACTGGATAATACAATCGCCTATTGTCTACCAACAGGCGCTTTGAACACAGCGCCACCGAAATTGCCGAAATCGTCCCTCCCCATTTTGGAACTTCCCCCCTTTCGGAAAAACCACTTTTGTTCCCAGGCCAAAAGGGTGGGGCAGCTACCCCCAATGTATGCCTCTAGCATGGTAGGTTCGACCCATCTTTTTGTGGGCGAAATAATCCCCAAATGCCATCCATCTCCTCAACGTTTGATAGCTCAAACAATTTAATCCCCCATGATTGATGGCTGTCAATTTAAAAAAATGTAAATCCAAATTCTGATCCCATTGTCATTGGCGTTTTGTGGTTGTTGTTGATGGTGGTGTTGTTGTTGTTGCAGTTGGGAAACCGCAGTTTGTTGGATGTATGAGCCGTGGCCCATAGTCCTGTCCCTTACATAGACACACCTTTGGTGGACGTAGTCATGTTTAATCTTCGTTTTCGATGGTAAGCCCGATGTGAGATGGTTAGACCCCTTATTTTGAGAGTAGACTGCACCACTTTGGTTGTCAGTGGTTTAAAAAACATAACATTTTACCAATTAACTCTCCCACCACTTTGAATTGTTGACGTGCAGGATTTTGCCGTTTCAAGCTCCCACCACTTTGGGTTGTTTATTGTGAAGAAACACTTGGCCAACCAAAACAGATGCTCAGGATAGTAACATTCCCTTTCAAGAAATGATGACGCCCAAAAGATCAATCTCACCAAAATAATGGCGGATTAGTTCCCTTTTATGCACAGATATGAACCCCCATAGTCATGTTACATTTTTTGGTGGCTCAATCCCTCATTCTTGAAAATTGTATAAATAAGAATATATATATATATATATGTTTGATGGTTGAAAATATGTAACCCTCATTCTGATAATCGAGTTCACAACTTTCATTCTTCATGGCAAAAAGCAGTTCTGAATGTTCTCAATGCGTTGTTCTATTCTCATACTTTTGGTTGGCAAAATATTTTTTCCCCTCCAGTAATCAACCATGGCTTGCTGGAAAACCATGAGAATCCAGCATTTATAGATGATGTTCCCCTTCAAACCTCTATTTATAGTGGATTTTCCCGTGGTTTTCCCATGGATTTTGGCCATGTCTCCCCTCCTTCTCCACCGTTGACCCAGCTGCTGCGTCGCGCCGGAGGCTTCAAGGTGGCACCATGCGCCGCTAAGGCGGTTGCCAACTGGGGCCAGGAGGTCAGGGCCTGGCCATGGGGATACCCCAAGCAATAGCTGGTTGGTTTATATTTTTATAGATGAACATAATATATATATATATATATAATCATATATAATCATATATAGATATTATACAAATCATAATATTATCCGAAAAAATATATAGATCCATTATATACTATAATACATGGATCCGAAAAAATGGATGACTGGGGGCAGCCCTATTTCAGGAAAACTCCATATTATGGCTTTGTAATGCTTTGTAGATAGCCTACAGTACTTAAGTAGCTCCATTTTAGGATCGAATTCCGATTTATCGGAAGCACCACTTCACCTGCATCGACTCCACCACAAGACCTCCAGAGGCCATTGACACGTCACCGGCGAGTCCAGAATCAAGGCCTCTGCGCAATCGCTGCATCCCGAAACGGATCTGGTTGGAGGTTTGACGGTTTCAAAATCATGAATTTCAGCTTGGATAAATAGGGCTGGAAGAAAAGTACTTGAAAATACTTGAAACCACCGAATAATCAAATAGATTCAAATAGCAGATGCATTCAAACACTGAGCAGTAGCTTTCGGACATTATTGGGGGATGATGCAAACCAGTAGTAGGCTCATTGTTGGCTAGTAAAAAAGTGCCTGTTCATGGACCCATTGTCCCCGACAAACCAGGTAGGCTCAGAAACCCCTAGAGCAACCAATCGACAACGAGGTTGGCTAAGATTTACACAGCACAATTGACTCACTGACCAAAATGGATCTAAATCCAGCCAAAAACCCTATTGATGGCTAAATCACATTTAAATTGTATCCAAATTTAATGGTATCCCTTAAATCATCCAAATTTTATGGGTATCCCTTAAATTTTGGGAAGTCCCAGTCCGTAGTTCCCAACAAGTTTCCCATCATTTTGAGCCAGTTGAACGATCCCAATTTCCCAAAGGATTGAAACCCAGATTTCACAAAAAAGGCTGGACGGCCCCTCCTTATTTCTATGTGCGCACGTCCAAAGAACATGTGTGGAATCAACAGCAGCCATGCCATGGGCAAGCTCCATGGGATTCATGGTTTATGGTCCATCCCAAAATGGGAATCCTTACAATGGATATGTAAATGCCTATGAAGGGATTGATGACCGTCTAATATGACACATATGAAGGTCGTGTTTCAAAACCCTAACAGAATCTTAATTTCTTGGCCATCAAATATGAGTGGCTTCCCAGTAGTTCGTCCAGTTCGGGTAGCCAGTTTTGGAACCACTCCGGGATGAAGGACCGGAACATTTTTACGTATCTCATCCAGGCTTGATAATAGGATCGCTTATGATACCTGCAACACAACATCAACCAGATAAGATAAATAAGCGATTGTGGTTGCTTCTTCAATACAACCCATCTGTGTAACTCCGTACACTTTTTTTTTGGTAGCTCCGTACCGCCGGCCGGGCAGGGGTTTTGGGATATTTCGGATGAATCCATCCAATGGTTAGATTCCCTTATATCATACATACTTGTATGATCATGTATATTCTTAAAAGTAGCCTACTCTAAACTAACACTTCGATGATGTTCGATGTGGCTTGATCCTGGTGCCCTCCGCCATCCCCAAGTTTGGCTTTATCATTGGCATTACCACACTACAAAAAGAAATTCATAAATATATATATATATATATATTTGATTTCTTGTTGCGTTCACCACATTTACACAATATGTCTTTATACATATATACATATAATTTATATATATATACAATATACAATATACAATATATATATATAGTCCAGGCCAGCAACCTCCCTCCCACCCCCCATGTCATGGTCATGGTCCTATGTAGGAGGCTCTATGTAAGATATAGTTTACACACCCCAGCCCCCTGTGGGATGGGTGGGGGCTAGATAGTGTGTCACTAGCACGTGGCGCAATGCTCCACGCCCCCCCTGTGGGATGGGTGGGGTATTATAGAGAGGGATGGGTGGTGTGTTATAGAGGTATCATGTAGATAGTGTATAGATAGTGTATAGGTACATGGCTTGCACGTATGTATAGCATATGAGATCTTGACAGTAACTAGTATATGGCTACTATAAAGGTGCTTTATTGGCAGCAATACGTAGCAAATAGTGTGATGCAGGGTGTAGCTTACACACGCCCCTCCTGTGGGATGGGTGGGGTGTTATAGAGGTATCATGTAGATAGTGTATAGGTACATGGCTTGCACGTATGTATAGCATATGAGATCTTGACAGTAACTAGTATATGGCTACTATAAAGGTGCTTTATTGGCAGTCATACGTAGCAAATAGTGTGATGCAGGGTGTAGCTTACACACGCCCCTCCTGTGGGATGGGTGGTGTGTTATAGAGGTACTTAGATAGTGTATAGGTACATTGCTTGCACGTATGTATAGCATATGAGATCTTGACAGTAACTAGTATATGGCTACTATAAAGGTGCTTTATTGGCAGTAATACGTAGCAAATAGTGTGATGCAGGGTATATGGTAGCTTACACACGCACCCTCCTGGGGGATGTGTCCCCCCAGATGTGTATAAGTTACATGGCATGGCTTGCACGTATGTATAGCATATGAGATCTTGACAGTAACTAGTATATGGCTACTATAAAGGTGCTTTATTGGCAGTAATACGTAGCAAATAGTGTGATGCAGGGTGTAGCTTACACACGCCCCTCCTGTGGGATGGGGGGGGTGTTATAGAGGTATCATGTAGATAGTGTATAGGTACATGGCTTGCACGTATGTATAGCATATGAGATCTTGACAGTAACTAGTATATGGCTACTATAAAGGTGCTTTATTGGCAGTAATACGTAGCAAATAGTGTGATGCAGGGTGTAGCTTACACACGCCCCTCCTGTGGGATGGGTGGTGTGTTATAGAGGTATCATGTAGATAGTGTATAGGTACATGGCTTGCACGTATGTATAGCGTATGAGATCTTGACAGTAACTAGTATATGGCTACTATAAAGGTGCTTTATTGGCAGTAATACGTAGCAAATAGTGTGATGCAGGGTGTAGCTTACACACGCCCCTCCTGTGGGATGGGTGGGGTGTTATAGAGGTATCCTGTAGATAGTGTATAGGTACATGGCTTGCACGTATGTATAGCATATGAGATCTTGACAGTAACTAGTATATGGCTACTATAAAGGTGCTTTATTGGCAGTAATACGTAGCAAATAGTGTGATGCAGGGTGTAGCTTACACACGCCCCTCCTGTGGGATGGGTGGTGTGTTATAGAGGTATCATGTAGATAGTGTATAGGTACATGGCTTGCACGTATGTATAGCATATGAGATCTTGACAGTAACTAGTATATGGCTACTATAAAGGTGCTTTATTGGCAGTAATACGTAGCAAATAGTGTGATGCAGGGTGTAGCTTACACACGCCCCTCCTGTGGGATGGGTGGGGTGTTATAGAGGTATCCTCTTAGGTAGTGTAATTAGGTGGCACGAGGCCAGCATGTAAGTATAGCATATGAGATCTTGACGGATGGTCGTAGATGGCTAGGCCAGCCCCATAGGGGTGGTTGCTGGGGGGGTTGCCGGGCGCCTCCCCATAGCCCAGTATACCCAGGTGTAGGGCGCAGAGCGAGCCAATGGACCGACCAAAAAGCACCAGTCCTAGTCAGGAATGATATCAAATTTAAATGAGATGGGGAGAATGAGGATACGACAAATCTGGATACATTTGGGAATAGTTTTTCCGCAATGCAATTCCCATCATTCCAGCGATGTGGCGACATGAGGTCGCAACATAAGTGGGAATTCACCAGCTATGATTTATGATATGGGGGTACCCAATAGCTGGATGGTTTATTTCATGGAAAATCCCCATTAAAATGGATGATTCGAATGGGGGTAGCCCCATTTCTAGTGCCCTATTTTAAGGGGATGAACCACCATAACCAGCGAAACAGTGCTTTGATCCTGAAAACTGGTGGATTATCCAGATATCATGGGATATATACCCTCTGGTAAACAGCCACATAACTATGGAAAGATCCACCATTTTTAATCACTATTTCGATTGGGCCATTTTCAAGTTCGCAAACTGTTAGTTTACCAGGCCGGGTAACTAGCCAACAATATGGATGAAAAACCACCACGAGAGATGAGACCAACCGTGCTATGGGGATTTTTTATGGAAAGCTCACCAACACATTTCGGATATCGGAATGCCCCAAAAATGGGGGTGGCCCCCAATTTGCAATCTTCGTTCCAGGAACATGATGACATACGGGTATGATGATCAACGATATGATTTTGGGGCAGCCATATTTAGACAACTTAGCCAAGAACAATGGGTTTATATGGCGTTGATTATACAGAATTGTGACTCTTCTTACTTGGGATAACCTGGATAACTGGTGACCGAAGCATAGGATCCTATGATTGGGAAATGGGATGGAATGGTTCGTCGGCGATTGGAATGGTATCCCATGATCTCCCCTTCACGGATCATGTCAACATAGGAAGTGTCTCTACATGCAATGTATCCCCAGGATTGCATGGCCTGCTACATGCTGAAATATGACCCAGATCTTGGTGCTGGGCAGGGTAGTTTTTATGTTTTTGTTCCTTCAACTCGGATATCAGTGAACAGATCAACAGCACGAAGTCTATCTGGGTTTCATCTGAAAAAAAACTATAACAAGCTGGTATCCCCAACAAAAATCCCAGTGGTTCCCCAACATGGCACCGCATTTTCCCCACGAACATCGCCATCTGGTTGGTGGTATACCTACCCCTCTGAATAATATGAAAGTCAGTTGGGATGATGAAATTCCCAACTGAATGGAAAGTCATAAAATTCCATGGTTCCAAACCACCAACCAGGCCATACTGTAAATATCGGGGGGTTGGCCCAACCACCCCAACGACAAACCGCACCTCGGCCCTCTAGTGATCGTTCATGTCCAGCCAGTATCCCCGGGAGTGCCTTGATGGCGTCCTGCGCTCAGCGAGTTTCACTGGTTGATATTATCCTGGTCAGTGATTCTCTTAGATGAAAAAAATGTTGGGGTTATCACAATATATACATATATGTATACATATATGTATACATATATATATATAAAATCATATGTATATATATATATATATACATGTATACATAGGTACATGTATATGTATACATTGTAAGCCGTCCATTCTCACTAGCAGTGACCACGAGCTACCCCACCAGAAAAAGCACGAGAAAATCGGAAAAAATGGAGGATGGTCTGTCAGAGGGTCCGCGGCCATAAACTGTGATGCTCAAAAGCATGTTTTCCTTTGACCAATTGTGAAAGGTGCCCTGAATGTCCAGGAAACTTGTTTTGTGGCTGTTAGTGGGAATGGGTGGCATACAATGTATACATATGTATATATATATACATATATATATAGATGTGTGTGTATGTGTATGATATGTGTGTATGATATGTGTGTATGTTTATGTATATGAGTTATAATAACCAGGGGTCCCACCAAGTTGGGATGATCCTCCAAGGATGATAACTGTCCTATCATTGTACCACTTGGGCCATGGACACAGTGAAGGAACATTTTGCTGATAGGAAATGTGGGGAAGCAGCTGCCAACAATGGGAATCCAACCAATAAAAATAATCTGTTTATGTACTGGGAATTCGTTGAATGTATGTCTATGTGTATCTGCATCTGCGCGTGTTCTGAGCAAGTGTGTATATATATATATATATATGTGCCGGGAAATAAGATACATACATAGATGTGTGTAGATACACAATATATTGTATAACTAATCAAATTTCATGCTTCTCATCTGTGTTTTGCCCCACAGGGGATGAGTATCGGTCATATAACCAAAAAACATGTGGGTTCAACCAACGATCATGGGATAGTACAACAATTGCTTTTGTTTAATGTACATATTAATGATAGATAAATAGATAGTTAGATTAGATTAGATTAGGTTTGACTAGATTGGACTAGATTCGATTAGATTGGGTAGATAGATAGACAGACAGTAGACAGATAGATAGATACATAGATAGATACATAGATAGATAGATAGATACATAGATAGATAGATACATAGATAGATCGGATGGATAGATAGCCAGCTAGCTAGCTAGCTAGCTAGCTAGACTGCGAAGCGTCAAGTTCACTTTCAAGTCCACCAAACAGTGCAATATCAGCCAGCTTCTAGTTTTCACTCACGCCAGTCTATCAGTCACAGTACAACGTCTCACAGCGTCAGTTGAGTTCCTAGTGCCTTGAGCCAGGCTTGAGCCAAACCATAGTTTGGCAGTGCAGTAGATTCAGTGTACTGTGCAGTGGAGTGCAGAGTGACAGTCATATCTAACATTCCCCTTTGGATCAGCAGTCCAGTTGAGTGACTGAGGATCCACACTTATTACAGTGCGTGCAAGTTAAACAGTCCAAGTCTTGAGAAGTATAGACTTCAATACACTTGTGAAAGTCTAAAGTGCTAGTTCCAAGTCTCATGCAGAGACAGTCAACCTAGTCTTCAGCATTCTCAGTTGAGTGCTTACTCCTATTGCTAACAGTCTGAATTCAAAGTATCTCAGTGTCATCTCAGTTGGCCTTCTTCACAGTGATCACGGTGTCAGTGGATGACAGCCCAAGTCCGCTGATCTGGATGTCAACCTTGAGATCAGTGCCAGTCTCAGTGATTGGCAAGGCCGCAATTCCAGAGCCATAGTTGTAGTCCCAAGTGAACTTCTTCAGTTCAGCTGGAGTGCTGGCAAGTCCAGCCTTTTCCATTTGGAACTGAGTCAGTGGCAAGTGCCCAAAGAGAAAACGACGATGAGAATTGCAGTAGCGAGTGCCATTCAGTTCCTTGGAGAGTGAGTCAGCAAAGTCCGCCAGTGTGTAGGCAGTCTGGAAGGTCTGACTTGATTCAGTCTCTAAGTCAGTCACTTCGAAGTTCACAGCACCAGTTGCATTCACATAGGAGTGGCTGAAGTATCCTCGGTGGAATTGCTTCAGTCCAGCAACCTTAGTGCGTTCGAGCCACACAGCAGTGACCCTCAGTGGCTCAGTGGAGTACTTCTGAAAGTTCTCCTGACTTTTCCACAGCTGCAGTGCTGAGTACAGCAAAGCGCTTCGAAGATCAGTCCACAAGTTGCACAGTGAACGATCAAACCACTCAGCTGGGATTTCCCCAGTTGCCAGTGCCAAGTCTGACAGTGTGAGTGGAAGTGACAGGAAGACAGGGTAGTCCACCTGCCTGTCAGTCAGGTGAGTGTACTCAGTAGTCACCCGTTGCAGTGGCTGCGAGTACATTCGCAGTTCTGTCTCTGAGTAGGTGAAGTGGGCAGTGCTCAGAGACAGAACTGCGAATGTACCCGCAGCCACTGCAACGGGTGACTACTGAGTACACTCACCTGACTGACAGGCAGGTGGACTACCCTGTCTTCCTGTCACTTCCACTTACACTGTCAGACTTGGCACTGGCAACTGGGGAAATCCCAACTGAGTGGTTTGATCGTTCACTGTGCAACTTGTGGCGGAGCGTCAAGTTCACTTTCAAGTCCACCAAACAGTGCAGTATCAGCCAGCTTCTAGTTTTCACTCACGCCAGTCTATCAGTCACAGTACAACGTCTCACAGCGTCAGTTGAGTTCCTAGTGCCTTGAGCCAGGCTTGAGCCAAACCATAGTTTGGCAGTGCAGTAGATTCAGTGTACTGTGCAGTGGAGTGCAGAGTGACAGTCATATCTAACAAGACAGACAAACAAACAAACAAACAAACAGACCAATAGATAGATAGGGACGATATTTGGGAAATTTACATTCTGCTGATTTCATTGTACCCATTGTGGAATGACACCCGGGATATCCCACTAGGCTAGTTGGATATCAACCATCCAAGGTGGGGGTCCATTGAGTCAGTGAGTGACATGGTCAATTGGTTAATCAATCAGTCAGTTGGTTGGTTAGTTAGTTGCTTAGCTGACTTAGTTAGATAGTCAGTGAGTCAGTGAGTCAGTGAGTAAATTAATCAGTTAGTTAGTGAGTTAGTTTGTGACTTCTTGAGTTTCTAAGTTACTTTCCTTGCTAGTTAAACTCTTAGTTAGTTCGGGAACATGATCATTATTCAATTCGGTCGAGACATGTCATGTAATAGCTATACCGGCAAAACTGATCAATGGTTTACAATTTTCAGACAAAGCCAAAGGGCACCATGTTTCTTGGTCTACTTGGAAATGCCGTTCCAGTTATAAGTGGGTACATTCACCATCGTTATAGGGGTGATATCCCAACTGATGGGAGTTTACAGGCATAGTTAGACCTATGTGGAACCTCAACGGCATCCCCATTTTAGGAAACCTTCATATTGGTCCAATTACATCACCATATTCCCATGTCATATCATTATATCACCATAATATTCCCGTGATATCACCATAATATTCCCATGATATCACCATAAATCCCATTAAATCACCATTAAATCCCATTAAATCATCATTAAATCACCATAAATCCCCTGCATTTGAAACCTCCGTGTGGCTGGATCTCCCGTTGTTTCACCCAAAAAAAAGCCTGCGCATCGCGCCGCAGCGAGGCCATCGAGGCCTTTCCACCCGACCTGGGCTGCCGGGCTGCATCTCGGAAAATCATGGGACATTTATAGGAAAATTATAAGAAATCCCGAGAATCCCCGAAGTAAATGGAGATCGAACTGGGAAAATCATCGTTAAATGCTGCGTTTTCTAGTGCGAGTCATAAACATGACGACCAGAGGGCCCCAAAATGCGCGATTTGTCAATGAGGACTTGGATGATGAAGCAGTGGATTTGGGGGTTGTAGGGTGTTTTCCATTTTGGGACAAACAACCATGTTTGGTTCAGGGAATCACTCGTTGTCAGGCTTACCCTTTAGGATGATTTCAGAGGGTCATCCACTTGCTATATAACTAATGCACATCCAAGTATTGCAAACGAAGGTCTGTGCAAGGTCTATTCAGGGAATACCAATCCCAAAATATAGCCCCAACACATAGCAGCATATCTGCGTAGTAGGCGACTGAAAATGACAGTGGACAATAGAGGAACATGATCTCTTCTAAAGATTGGGTTATTGGGTTTCAACTGTGAAACTGGAGCGATCAGTCCAACAAAATCAAGGATGTGGAGTGAGCATGATTAGTAATGAGTTGAAGTTGCTCTGATTGTTTATCCGTTCACATCTAAACGGGGTAATTTCGGGAGTCTTAGACTTTAACAACGGATATGATATGAACCACAAAAACGTCCTGAAGTGAATATCATCATTCTCCGTAGTATCCAGCATCAAAACTAAGAAATACTTGACTCTCAGCGTTCTGCAAATTATGATGTTTCACAAAACCTGAAACAAACTTTCCACGGTTTTACAAACGTTTAAACTGTTTCTGGGAATCATTGGAAGTTGATTTTTAAGCATTGGGTTTACCACAAAATACTTAATCCATCTTTGGTTTATGTGTCATCCATCCCAAAATGGAAATCCTCGAAAATCTCAAGTGATTACAAGGATGACCCTCTTCCAATATGGATATATATCATATATATATATCATATCTCGCATTCTCTCGCCGTTTTGATGTGGTAGAAATATGATATACCTCGTTGTTTCATTCCCCACTGGATCCGGTCAGGTCGCTAAGGTCACCCAGGGGACCCAGGTTGCCCGGCCACCCAAAGCCACGGTAGTCCAGCAAACACATCTCGCAGAGTCCCTCGTCCACCAAATCAGCCACTTCGGACCTGTCTCAACGAACATCGCGAAATCCCATGGTTTTTTCGGAAGGCTAAAAGGGGGGTTGATCTTAGAATAAATCTATGTTAGTTGGTATGCAGATATACTGACACTTTGGATTTTCCATGGAGATGTTTTCCAATTTCAATCAATTGAAGGTGTTGAAAGGCAGAAAACCATCGTTTGTCCCATCAAATTTGTTGAGGTTTTGTGGAAATCTTCCCTTCCCACCAATCCTGAGACGGGGGAAAAAAAACACTACGTGAATATGTGCGCTGCAACCTTGACGTTTCTCCATGCTGATTCCACATTTTTTCCAAAACAATCAACCCTAAAACCCTGAAACCCAAAACCCTAAAAACCTAAACCCTAAAACCTGAAATCCTGAAACCTAAAGTCACAATCGCTGTGTATCGCCGGTGTTTTCTTTCATCCTCTTGTGACAAGTATATGATAGTATCTGGGCGTGTTATGTGGATATGGAGAAACGTCCGGGTTGGGGCGAACATGTTTTGGGAACCTCGGATTCTTGTAGCATGTAATTTTCGGGTGTCCCACCGAAATCTAAAAATTGTCTAAAAATTGCATAAAAATTGCCAGAAATCCTAGGGGATAGTTTGCCATCAATGATGAGGAAAACGCCGAACTTGCACGACCCACGAGCACACTTGCCCTGCAAAAATAGAATCATTTTTTTACCGATCCTATCTGGTTGGTGGTTTCATCCCCTCTGAAAAATATTGGTCAGTTTGGATTATTCTTCCCAATATATGGAAAAATAAAAGCCATGTTCCAAACCACCAACCAGTTATATAAATCACACAGACCTAATCAGAAAAACAAATCGATTTTCAATATTAATGGTACTTTTTGGTACTGCAAATGACATCTTCGCTATCTTCGAATGTCAAAAAAAAGTGCACTGGGCAGTTGACATGAGAAAAAGTAATTGTTTGTGGTACTTTTCACTACTCTCATCTTATGTGAGCATAGTATAAGGGGTTCTTGAGCCAAGATAGCTACGGACATTTATGTGCCATATTATATTCACATGTGCCACTATCACAGGACATGTACCGACAGCCTCCACATAGATTTCAAACATCTCCAAATCCACCGAGAAAATGACCACAATCCATCCAGGAATCAACCATTTGGTGGATGATTTCCCCCATCCAAACCATGATCTGCTGGAGGTTATACCCCAAAAACTAACATGCCATCCCTGCCGCTTTTTTGTTGGCGATTGGGAGACAATTCTTTCCAACCGATATAAGAACGCGCAATTCTCAGGGTCAAACTGTAAAATTTGGGAAATGATACATTTGACATAGACCCTGAAAGCCAATTTTTACTGGAAACGGGTTTTAAAACGTTTTAAAACCCCCTATTTGAGAGGGTCAAAAATTGTTATACTACGGTGGATGGAAGAAATCCTGCACCAGTTCATAGGTGGTTTATCCCATTATTTACATGCTTTCTACCATCCCAGGTGGTGCAGGATTTCTTCCATCCACAGCAGGATCATTTGGGAAATGGTGACCCAAATCTACCCACCATCACCGACCATCCTTGTCAGGCCGCTGTGCGCTCACAGCAGCCAGCTCCGCATTGCCTCCAAAACGCACCACGAATGGGGCCCCTGCATCCTGCAACGATGGCAAGCTCAAGTTGTTGGTGATGCCATCTCCAAGTTCGGCACCCAGAAATTGAAACTGACAAAAAAAGGCTGAAACCCAAGCATATCATGGCTCGTGTTTCAGCTGAAATCTAGCTTTGTCTGCAAAAATTTTGGCGTAAAAAGATGTAAAAAGCCCAAATCCCCATGGATCTCTCATCATTTTCCCGATGAAAATGCTGATCAGTCCTTCAACATTAGGACCTTGCCGCTGATTTCAGCCAGAGAAAAGTTATCCAAATGGGGTTGGATGAATGGAAAAATGCTTTGGATTCTAACTGGTTGGTGGTTTCATCCCCTCTGAAAAATATGAAAGTCAGTTAGGATTATTATTCCCAAGATATGGAAAAATAAAAGCCATGTTCCAAACCATCAACCAGCTAATGATTTACCTCAGGAACCATGGTCTTTCCAATAGAAATCGCAGAAAGGGTCTCCTTCAAATGTTCACTTGAATTAAATCTGGGACATTTAGGTCTTTGCCACACAATGGATCGCTAATGTCGAAGGCTGAAAAAAACTCATCCATTGAATGTATCTTCTGACCGTGCTTGAACCGCTTTCACCAAATCCATCTCTCCTATTCCCAGATCTGGTTTCATCAACAAGGGCAGGAAAATCGAATGATCTACCCCTCCGGCAATCAAAATTGGCCGGAAAATCCAGCATCCATCATTTCCAGATGATTTTCCCTATTTGGGGATGGATCAATACCTATTAATACCATTTTTAGGGGGATGAACATCCATTTACCAGCTATTCTGATGTGAACTACAGGGGTACAAGGTTTTGACACACTGCCATTTCTAGCTCCATTTAGTTGGAGTAAAACCTCCGTTGAGTTCGGGGATCTTGCCACGTTTCATGACGCCGAGCACCCAGGCATAGCCCAGCTCCACGCCGTCTCGCAGCGTCAGAGTTCCCAGGATCCGCTTGGCACCGAGCTTCTCTTTCGCCAGAGCCTGGCCGGTGGCGTTTGATGCCAGAAACATCAAGAGTTGATGGATTTAGAACAATTGCATACCCTCTGGTGAACTAACATAGCTATTGAAAGATCCACCATTTTTAATGGGAAAATCCACTATAAATCACCCTTTTCAATAGCTATGTTAGTTTACCAGAGGGTAACCATAAACATTCAGTTGCTAGATCAAACTCATGGATTTAGAACAATTATATAACCAGAAACATATAACCAGTAGCTAGACTGACCGTTTAGATGGCTTTTAAACCAAGAATCATTGTGTATTGACTCTATTTTTGCGCAACGAGTGGGTAGGGTGAAGGGGCTATATGAAATTGCCAAGCGCAGGGATGATAATTTGGATGTTTCCGAGGGTCATGGGGCATCCCCAGTCGTCACCAAAACGGTTCCTTTTTACTAAACTGACCTCATTTTTTTTGGATGATTTGGGGGTACCCCCATTTAGGAAACCTCCCTATGTTGCCATTTATATCTATTTCGAGTCTGGTGGGAACCCCATTTCCCTTTTTGAGACAATTAGATAGCAGATGTTTGCGGCGGGAACAGATCTTTTGTCACCTGCCAACCTGGCAAGGGAATATCCCAACTTCATAGACAAAGAGCATGTGTTTTCAACCGATAGTGGATCTGTCACTGTTAATGATGTTCAAATCCCTCTTCACGATGCATTTTTGGGGGAATTTTCCAGCCTTTTTGTCGGCCACACCGCTGCAATTTTAGTGAATAGTTGCTGAACTGCAACGTTTTTCTGAGGTCGTATAACTGGATGTTCGCTAGCTTCAAACTCCAACTATTATTGGGTGTTGAAATATCTCTCAGGTAGTTTGGCTAGATCCTTAAGTTGGTTGGCTATATCAGCTATAATAATCAAAACAACTACAAAAGCAATCTATATAACACAGTAATAGGATTTTCCATAAATATTGCTACAAAAGCTCCAAGTTTATGGCAGAATGACTCCCTCATCCAACCACTTCGATGTATCAACCTTTTCAATCCTTAGCCGAGTGAAATTCATCTAGCTGCAAGATGGTGCCAGTTATAAGCTGGTTTGTGAAGCCTATTTTACTCAAAAAAAACCTAGTAAAATATGATTCATGTTCACCACCTTGCTGCCCTGGGTACAGGGTTTATGGCCCATGCCACAATGGGAATCATGCAAAAAAATGCCACAATGGATGGTTACCAATCCCAACGGGATTATTTCTGACCATGCCCCAAGATGGATAAGATATGATAAGATCATCCAATGTCTGACTTTAGTAGGTTACTTCACTAAATCCCCATGAAGGTATCCCATTGAATCACCATTTTTTCGGCTATAGTAGGCAGCTTCCACCATCCCATATTCTACCCCAACAAAAATCCTTGGAATTAGCACCATATTTGCTAGTTAAATCCCAAATCCCATGAAATGCCACTCCAACTTCACCTTTTCCCTAAATCACTATTAAACACCACTAAACACCATTAAATCACCATTAAATCACCATAAATCCCATCAACATATCCCATGAAATCCCATCAAAATATCCCATGAAATCCAATGGAACAACTGATCTTCGGCACCTGCGACACGCGCCTTGCCACGAAGGCCACGGAAGCCGCTTCCTCGCCCGCCGAGATGGCCCTTTTTTGATGGTGGATTTATGGTGGATTTGTATGGCCAATCACCAAGATTTATGGTGGATTTATGGTGATTTTTATGGAGAATCTCTATCTTCTGGGATAGATTTGGGATTTATAAATTCTACCATTTCTGGTGCTTTTTTTTGGGACCATGTTGAGATGATTTTTTTTACTCCGGCTAGTCTTGTACAATTTTGAGTAATCCAGTGACCATAGAGACCAACCAAGGTAAGTTGGTTGATTTCATTGGGCTAACCATTGGATGGGGCTTTAAGCAACAGAATTCGTGATTCATTCAAAGTAGGGCTAAGCTGCCCAGGGGGGTCATGAAAATGGTGATTTTGCCAACAAGAATGAGAGGTGAACTCCGAAAATTGGAGGGAGGATTACTGCTTTTAAGGGCCCCAAAAGGCCAAAAGGATAGGCAAGTTGGGTCATTTCACCAAGCTAACGATTGGATTCATAAATGAGATATCTACACTTGGATGGTGAACATAATTTGATCCTTTTTCTTGGATCTTCCAGGTGTAGAAACTGAAAAAAACCTCAGAAAACAAGATATGTTGGACCCAAAAAAGATAGATGGATAGTCAAATGAAAAGCGATACCACGCTATGTTTCATTCGCTTTTGGGCGGTCTATTCACCAAAGTTGGCCTATCTGAGTATCAAACCCCCACACCTAGGGGGTTCCGATGATGCTGGGCTTCCCCACAGCCCGTGGCATCTCGCTAAGTATCTGCTGTACAGCCTGCAGAAGGCCTGAAGCAGTCCCAGCCTCCTGGCGCAGGGTGGAAATGAGGTCCCTAAAGTAAGAGGGCTCTGGTTGATGGTTTCAACCCAGCAAACCTCCGTGAAACCACCAACCAAATTTAACCAAATGATATTAATATATACATATTCGATGTATCCCCCCTCATTTTTTTTCATGTACTGGTGGCTAAACACCATTTATATTGTTGATTGGTTGATTGGATTCCAACAATCCCCCCATTTTTTGTTGATCAAAATCCATGTTTTCATGTGTTCAAATCTCAGGTGCTGGTTTGAAACAGACCCTGGCCCACTGTCTATGTCAATGTAAACTCGAGCGTAATATCCCATGAAATCCCACTTTTTTTTCATCACCGTTTTTAAAAAATGCTAAATCCCTAGTTCTGCTGGTCAAACGGTTTAAACAACAAAAATACAGCCTAAATCCCTATTTGCCTTGGCTAAGTCATGCTAAATCCCTATTTTTCTTGGCGAAATCTACGCTAATTTTTTGACACCCCTCACAAGGTGGCCTCCAGCTGCTCTTGGGCCGTCAGAAAGTCTCCCAGCCAAATCTGGGTAGCCACCTGGTGAGAGATACAAAAATGGTGTGTTCTTTACTTGAGTAGCGTTCAAAAAGCCTCTGTCGTCCCTTGATTCAAACTATTCAAACTGGCTGGGGGGATTATGTTGGGTACTCCCTATTCATTGATGATGATAATCCCCAAAATTATCCCCAATATATATTGGGTAGTCATTGATTATGATAATGATAATCCCCAATATATTGGGTAGTATAGTACCCCATAAATCCCCACAATCATCAACCAACAGCAGTAGATCGCAGCCACCGCTCACTTGGTCCATCGCAGAAAAATGTCATGGGGATGGCCTTAAAACTGATGTCAACGGGATAAAAGTATTGGACATTAGTGTGCCAAAAAAAAAAATCGATCACCAAGGTCATTCGATTACTCAAAAACTAGTCGCTAGGGGGAATAAATGATATCTCTTTGGAATTGATTCTATCAATTCAAAAACTGGTGGAATTACAAAAAAAAAAAACGTGGCATGTTGTTCTCAAAAATAATGCCAAAACTCAGCTCAAAAAGGGTCGCTGGGTATGATCTAGGCCCCATTAGAAATTCACCGGTTGATTAAGTTCCATTATAATTATAAGGATGATCCTCTTTTTATCCCCATTGTTGCTCGATTCCCCATGATATAAATCCCATCAAATCATGTCCCAAATCCCAATACATCCCATCAAATCCGATCAAATCCCAATCAATCCCAATAAAACCCATACATATATATATATATATATACGTATACATATACATTTACATTAACATTAGCATTAACATTAACATTAACATTAACATTAACATAACATATAGCATATAACATATACCATATACCATAAGCTATCTACATATACTTTACATTAACATAACATATAACATATAGCATATAACGTATACCATATACCATATACCGTATACCATATACCATATACATATACATATATTATCATATATCCATCCCAGTACCATCCGCCTCCACCATTTCCACCTCGCCCTGCACGCGCGCCCTGGAGCATAGCCGCAACGGCGCAACGCCATGGCACTGCGGGGCTTCAGCCGCAGGCGCACCAGGCATGGGGCAAGTTACATATGGAAACACTGGGAGAATGGGAAAATATGAGGTGAACCCAAAAAAACATGGATTTGATATAGATGGAGCATATAGATAGATAGATAGATAGATAGATAGCTAGCTAGATAGATAGATAGATAGATATCATATAGATCTGGAGCAAATCCCACAATTCCAATGGATTATATATAGATCATCATCATCTTCCCGGAACGGCCATCACTGGAGGTATACTAACCATTTTCAGCTACACCAAAATGGTGTTTTTTAAACAAAGGGAAGATCTGCGGTGAAAAAATCGAAATGTTGTGAAATGGTATATCATATCTGTTGGTTAAAAATGGTCAAGAATCACTTCTGGAAGCCTTCAAAAATGGCTGGACAAAGTATCGAAATAGCTTAGTGGAGCTCACAGAAGGGAGAGAATGGATTTTCCAGAAATCGTCAAAACATCGCAAGAGTCAACAGCAATGGGTAAAACATTGGTGCAGTTGGAAAACAAGTGGGGCTGTTAAGCAGAGACCAAACAACACAGGTGGGCTCCCAGAAAAAAACAACAGGGGTCGATGAGTGACTCAAACATGTAGCAGGAGGTCTCAACATCAGAGAAGGTCTATTGAGCCACAACAACTAAGCTTTCCCCTGCAAATGTGCCCATATGTGGGACTTGGGATTGTTTTTTTTTGTATCGGCGGACCATTTCTACTACATTGTCATGAGGATTCAACCCGTTCCAAAGGTGATCAGTTCTGCATCGACCTTCCTTTTTGGTGACAGCTATGGTCCCTAGTTCGATGATTTACCTCGGAAAATATGGTGATTTTCCAAAGCTATTTTGAATTACCAGAGGCTATTCTCTGTCATCAAATCCAGCCGCAAATGGATGGAATCTGAGATGGCAACATCCGAGGGTCAGTAGGAAAGTTTGTTTCACCCAATCCCATAGCTGTAAAGTCCTGCACTTTCATACCCGAACATGTCGAAAAATCCTCGAAATTCTGCCAAATTTCTTACATTGATCTTTCCTGGGCCAGTGAAAATTCCCAGCCTCCCACGCTTCACCTAGGTGTATCCAGCCGTTGCCCATCCATTCCCAATTTTTCTCAGCGTCCAGGCACTGTCTGGGGCTTACGACAGCAGCCCGGCCTGTGGAATCCAGGGGTCTGAAGTCATGGGGGATACTGGACCAAAACCAAGTTTAAAATTTTTATTCGGGGAAGATGTGCCTATGATTCTTTGGTCTCCGAGTTGTGGGGAATCAAATCGATAAAATCTACGTGTTCACTGATTCAAACACAACATTTGTCGCCTCCAATTCCCCCTGTGGGTGAAAACCTCATTTGTAGTCGGTCAAGCCGCCTCTGCTGTTGCAGCTTCACAAGCGCAATTTTTGGGTTGGGTGATTCACACTTCACCTCAATCATCAAATGGATGCACGACCACTACAAAAAGAAATCCCAAACCTGAAAAGTCTTGGAAAACTCGCCAATTGTGGGATGATTCCCACCTTACCTTTCATCATGTACAAGGGGGGGGCTGGTAGTTGATGGTCGGCCATGCTTCGTCACGTCCCGTTTCTATTAGGATACCATACAATGTGAATAATTGTAGATCCGAAACCATACATGTGTTTGTCCGAACATGTGGTACCTATGTTCATCTATGTACTGGTCAATTACAATATGTACATATGTGTGTATATATATAATATAGAGAGAGAGAGAGAGAGAAAGATAGAGACATATGTACAAAGATACATATATTCCCTTTCTATGTTGCAACAAAATACGGGAAATACCCATTTTCTCACAGACCCAAGTACAGAAAACACAGCAAAAAGGGCCTCATTGCGCTCATCTTCGCTGGGCAATGGCACACCAGTTTCCAGTGTCGAAGTAACCTGGCCCACAGGTGGGTCGGAGGGGATGGAAATGTGCATTTTGTAGTCATAAAATGGAGATCACATGGATGAACCATGGGATTCTGGGTGTTCCATGGTGCGTTCTCCAAATGTTGGGCTTTCCACCATTGTAAAGCTTACTGAAAGAGGAATCTTCAGGTAGTTTTGGGGGTCACCAAATTGAAGAAATGAAGGGGGTCTGGGAACCACACAGGAACCTTTCGGAAACTCCTTCACGAGAATCACGAAGCGAAAGAAACAAAGGGTGGAATAAAATAAACGAATGGAACTATGGAATATGTATTAATATATGTATTAATATATGTATATGTATATGTATATGTACATGTAGATGTAGATGTACATATATATGTATATATATATATATATGTGTATCTGTATATGTAGATGCACATGCACATGCACGTGCGCATGTATATATATATACACATGTATGTATTTATATGTACATGTATGTATATGTATATAAAGGATTATTAAAGTTTACTTAATCTGTGTTTGCTGTCAAGGATAGAAAAAGTGTCTTCACTTGTTTCAGCATATCATCTTGCGATTTGTTCCAAGTTGGGGATTCTTTAAGCCCTGACAGGGTCTCTTTGCAAGGGGTCTCTTGGTACTCATTCTGTTAAAATCTGAAATTAGAACAGCAGCAGTTCATCCATCACTAAATGTGTACCTATTCCAGCTGGCAGTGTCTTTACTTTGGTGGCAATGCTTTCAAGTGGCTTAAGGCATCAATATTCTGCAGTATCCTACAACTATCTGTCAGAAGTCAACAACATCCTGTGGAACACAATTGTTTTTCCAATATTTGAATCAACTGTCAAATGATGGTTCCTCATGCAAGAAACTGGTAGGCCAAAAAAAAATGTTCTAAGAGACTCCTTCCAAAGACACCACAGCCAGCACTAAGGCTGCTGTATGATAAACCACCATTAAGTTAAGATCATTAAGTAGGATTGACAATCAACATGCCACGTAGGCCGCACACATCAAAATTCCGCAAAGTCAAGGAAACCTTAGGATTTTACAACAAATTTTGACAAAAATGTGATGAAACTGTCCGGAAATCCATCCAGAAAACCCTCAACTGCCGAAGAAATTGGGCACCACCCGCACCACGACCCAACTCTGCACGTGCCAGCTGCGCTGTCCAGCACAACGAGGTCCGGCACCTCCTGTAACCTCAGCAAAAACTACAGCCGAACCAAGAAATTTGGGAGAAACTGGGGCAAAAAAAATAACGGTATGTACGGAAAAATACATGTATACATATATACATAGATACATAGATACATATATACATATAATTTTACATATATATATATATATACCTATATACCTATATACATATATACAAATTTACACATATACATATAAACATATAAACATATATACATATATACATATATACATATATACATATATACATATATACCTATATACCTATATACCTATAGACGAATATACATATGTGCAAATTTACATATATACATATATACATGTAAACATGTAAACATATATACATATATACATACATACATACATACATACATACATACATACATACATACATACATACATACATACATACATACATACATACATACATACATACATAACATTACATTACATTACATTACATTACATTACATTACATACATACATACATAACATACATACATACATAACATAACATAACATAACATAACATAACATTACATTACATTACATTACATACATACATACATTACATATATACATGTATACATTTATACAAATACACATATTTACATATATACATATATACATTTATACATAGATCCATGTATACATTTATACATTTAAACATGTATACATATATACATGTATACATTTAAACATATATACACATATACACATATACATATATACATTTATACATATATACCTATATACCTATATACCTATATACATATGTACATATTTACATAAATACGTATGTTCATATGTTCATATGTTCATATATACATGTACATATGTACATATTTACATAAATACATTTTACACATATACATCTATACATATATACATCTTGACATATATATATACATATATACACATGTTCAACTGTTTATATTTAAATATGTTCATATATACATTTGTATATATATATTTATACAGTTTTACATAAATACATTTTACATTTTTACATATACGCATGTATACATATATTTACATTTATACATCTATTTACATATATACATATATACATATATACATATATACATATATACATATTTACATATATACATATACATATATACATATATACATATATACATTTATACATATGTTCATATGTTCATATATTCAATTATTCATACATACATATATACATAGAAACAGGTACACACATTGACAGAAATACATTACACATATATACATTTATACATATACATATGTATATATATATATACATTTACATATATATATATACATACATATTTACATATATACATATATATATACATATTTAAAATATATATATATACATATATATATACATACATACATATACATATATATATATACATACATATACATATATATATATATATATTTATTGATTTATTTATTCAAGTATACATATAAGTATACATATATACATATATATGTATCATTATAAAACCATATTGAACTGTCATTGTCGGCATCGTGGTTTTCACTATCACTATTGTTGTATATTATTGTCGTCGTATTGGTTCAAAAAAATGGTAATCATAGTAATATTGTATCATGTTGTTGTATCTATTCTGTTGACCATGCGTGGTGATGGAAGAACCTTGGGCTTATTTATCGGTATCCATTCCATGACCCACACGTCCATTTTTGCCACAAATGGGATCGTCGCAAAGAAGAATGCGGAACCCCAAGAAAGGGGATCACAAGACAATGCTCTTTGCTTAACTGGCCACCAATGTGCAGTTTCTCACCCAACTAAATTTCAGCGTGTCAGAATTTTCCAAGTTGATGGTCCGGCGTTTGCAACTACTATTCCTGGTGGATTTGCCAATGAAAATGACATGAAACATCACCTTAAGAAAATCGAACTTTGAGGAACTATTTCCCCAGATCTCCATCTGTCTCCAAACCCCGCAAACTATCGCCAGCTGAGCGGCAGCTCATCAAGCTCACCCTCCCTGTACACATGGCAATATCTTTGGCCTCGAAGTTTCGTCCAAGTGGGCTTCAATGGAAAACCATGCAAAAAGTGGGGCAAGCATGGCTCCCAACATTATAAAAATCAATGTCAATGCTCTCGGTTTTTAAAAGAAAGGGATCAATGGATCGAATTTACGGCAACATGTGTAGGCAACAAGTATTTTTCCCGCAAATGTAAAGGTTTCTGGCAGCTGTCCCTGAAACCAAATCTGGGGTTCCTTGGATGCTCGCCAGATTTTACGATTTAGAGGAAAGACACAGATATATACATATATATATATCAATATATATAATAAATATATAATATTGCTGCAAGGGCCCCGTTCACGGAAACAATTTTTGTTTGAAATGCGACCTCCATTTTCAGAGCCACCTGCGCGCTGAAGAGGGCCCAGAGTAAGAAGTGACAACATGGAGGTAGAAAGGCACATAAAGATCCCGCTTGCAGAAGCCCAGCCAAACAATGCTAGCGAAGGAAGCAAAACGCTTTCTAGGCCCGTTGGCGGCCCTCCTGCCCTTTCTGGTATAACATTGTAATTTTAAAAAAAAGATTTACTGGTAAGAAGGCCGTGCCTACAGATTTACTGGTAAGACGGCAAAGTGCCTCTCTGGCTGGCGTTTCTGGGTGGTGACCTCCCACGTGCCAAAACTGACTAGGAATATGCCGCGCCTAAAATCTGAGAAGCAGGGGGCCACAAGTCTCATAATACTTTTGGCCGCAGGAAGAAGAATCCAGACATTGGGTGGGCAGGAAGTCAGACTGAGTGGCTTTGCCAAAACTCTCAGACCCATCTAACAGTTCTTTGCAGTCTGCGCAATGCCAAAGCAAGCTCCAGGCAGTAAACTCAGTAAAAGGTCGTGCCATGCAACAATGGCGCGCTTGGCCCCAGAATTAGATATACAAAAATCGGCCGCATGAATCTTTCATGATTCCTGGGTTTTCCATACCTGGAGGATGAGACTTCCTGCATCCCTTTTTTTTCTCCCCGAAAATCTGGGCGGGAACCAAATATTAGGAAAGATGGCAATGGAAATTGTGCATCAAGATGAAAATGCTGTTGAAACCAGATGAGTTCGGAACAGCCATTGGGAAACTATAGGCTCCAAATTGCCTTGTCTTCTCTCGGGCCGTCACCCCTCATCATGAACCCGAAGTCACCATGTGTGCTGTCAAAGTTGACTTTCAATTGGGCATGGCCACTTTTGAATGGAGATGTACTTTAAAATCAGATCATGCTTTTCGGAACAATGAAGGGACAGGGGGGGGATCAACCACCAAAACCCTCTGCTACTTTAAAGTTTGCTATGCAAAATGGCCCGTTTAATTCGATGATTTACCTACTATTCTGACAGAGATGTTCAGTGGCAAACTGCAACAGTCACTACCAGGCGGTACTACTTCCATGGCTATAGATGATCTACCCATTAACACTTTCAGCGCCGGCTGGCTTGACTGAGCTCCCGCACACACTGGGGGCTGCTCTTCCCATGTCTCAGGGGTGCCGGAAACACCTGACCCAACCAGGCGCTGTGCCCGATCTCCCGATAGAAAAATCACGGTTTGAGGATAGAAGAATAGCGATTGCTAAAGGGGCATATCAAAGGGATATAACTTTCGATGCCATTTTGTTCTTGTTTTTTGGATTTTGCCTTGTTCAATTTTTTTGAACATATCGAATTGTCTCAAACATTGGAAGCGTCTTCTGCACCGCTGCCGCCATGGCGCTGGCGCAAAATTTGGGGTGTGCTCCAGCGACACGTCCAAATCACTATCTGATATGGGCTCTATGTCTTTCTCTATATCTGCATACTCATCCTATACATTATAGAATATACTTCAAGCAGTTGTCTCTATGTATATACAAATAAATCATATACATATTTTAGAACATACTTCAGGCAGCTGTCTCTATGTATCTGTGTGTGTGTATGTATGTATGTATGTATGTATGTATGTATGTATGTATGTATGTATGTATGTATGTATGTATGTATGTATGTATGTATGCGTTCATGCATGCATGCATGTATATATATATATATACATATACATATATATATATACATATATATATATGCGCACAGAACCGGACGTTTGCCGAGAGCTTGTGTTTTCTCGCACGAAACGGCCCTTCTTTTTCACGGACCCCCACGAAGTCTGCGAAGGGTTGTTGCTGAAAATTATTGTGAAACGAGCCATGAAGCGAATTTCGTGTCGTACGCGTGGCGAGGGGCCACACCTAGTGTACGGTCCATCCCTGCAAGGCGGTGCGAACCGCGGATGAAATATGTCATATGTGTTAAAACCGTGGGAAAAATGAAATATATTATGTCATCTTGGGCGAACGTTAGGTTCTGCGGGTGTGTATATATATATATATACTCCCATTCAACCGGTCCCTGCACTTCTCGGCACGCTTTTTCCTTGAAGCCCGTGCCGTCTGTTATGGCAAGAGGCTCATGCCCTGCCTAGGCTGCCATGTCAGATCGTTTTGATCCACGGCAGCCCAAACCAGTGCAGTGGCTGTCCTCCATACGGAGTCCACAGCCCACTGGCAAGCAGTTATGGCATGGCTCTCTTTCGGGCGGCCAGCTTGGGGTGGTGGTGGGAGCCGAAATGCTGCCCCGGGACCAGACATGATCGTGTATAATTCTCACCTTAGTGATCAACCATACACTCCCATTCAACCGGTCCCTGCACTTCTCGGCACGCTTTTTCCTTGAAGCCCGTGCCGTCTGTTATGGCAAGAGGCTCATGCCCTGCCTAGGCTGCCATGGCAGATCGTTTTGATCCACGGCAGCCCAAACCAGTGCAGTGGCTGTCCTCCATACGGAGTCCACAGCCCACTGGCAAGCAGTTATGGCATGGCTCTCTTTCCACGCGCCCCCGACTGGCTCACAGTTTTGAAAAAGGTACGCAATTTTGCGCACAGGGCAAGGGTCTTGGGAGGGTGTTTGATTGATGCTAAAGATTGAAGACCTGCATCAATATATATATATATATATTCGAGCAGTTGGGACGTGTTGCCATCGACCCTGGGTGACTAAAGCATCCATGCTCACACCTTGCCGAAAGGCACTGGTGACTCCCCCACGCAGCAGGCTGTAGGGCATGTATCCTATGTTGCTTAGATTCAACGCCTGCAAAACTTCCTTAAAAAGCAGCCTAAATTGTGAATTGGACATCTGTGAGAGTGAGTCCCCTGGCTGCAATCCTTGGCAAAGGTAGCGGAGCCCTTGTATGGGCAGTTTTTCCTCAAGCACGACTTTGTCCAGGGGGAGGAAGTTTTTCTTTGTTCCTTTGGTGCTGTCCAACAGCAGCACTGCCTCTGGATTGTTCTGAGACGGTGGCAACACCACCTCTTTTCTCTTCAAGAGAACAAGCTCAGACGTTCGTAGGAACGCACCAAAACCAACGATGAGCAGCCACCCAAATCGATACTGTTTCCATTTGAAAGCTTGGCCTGCCATCGCCAACAGTATCTCAGGGCTAAGGGGGGTAGCCCGTGTTGGAAGTTCGACCTGGTTCCAGGTCTTCACTAACTTCCATGCCCACACCAAATGATTTTTGGTCCGTGGGTGGAAAAATTGTAACGCAGCTAATGCATAGGAAGCCTCCGATTTGGGGGCTCCATCTTCCCAGAGGAATTCAATGTAGGCCGAGGCCCACAGGTCGATTTTCTCTAGGTCGAATGAATTCACCTCTCTTTGGAAGTTGTGAAACTCACAGAACTTGCTAAAGCTGTCTTCATAGCGGGTTTTTGTTTTGGGCTGAACGACCAACAATGATAGACGACCAACTTTTTGCCTTTCCATTTTCCGACTCTCCTTTGTGGGGCGATTTAATACGGCCAACGGCCTTTTTCTTTTCTGGCTATGGCTCATAGCGACGACTAGGCTCATCTGCGGGGTTGAGGTGCGATTCAACCCACGCCAAGACAGGGTACAACCCCGCGGCCACACTCATCGCCGCCAATTTTCGGAGAAGTCGGTTCAGCAGCCGGCTGGATGATCGTCCTTTTACACAAACACTCAGTGTAATTTGGGAGTCCGACAAGTGCAGGAACCTGGTGCCATTAAAGTTCTTACGTCTGAGGCGCCATTCAACACAGTGAATCAGCGCCCGGAGCTCGAGCACATTGATGTGCTCTGGCGTGTGAAAGGGGTAGGCATGAGCCACGTGCCATAACCACCTGTGAGGATTCACTGTTGCTCGTGGGAAGGCGTCTGGCCTAAACAGCGTCCCCACATCCAGCCTCACGTCACTACCCCGATACTCCTGCCGGCGCACAAACGCCTGGACCATCCGGACCGACATGTTCAGGTCCTGTTCACTGATTCCCGCCAGGCTCGTCTGGCTGGCTGGAGTCCTCGGGATGTTCCTGCACTTTCGCTCCATCTCATAACTCCCAATCTGGGTCGTGTCAGTATCATACCCTGGGTCTTCCCCCATGGGGGTCTGATCCAGGACCACCTCAACCTCTTGGCCCTCAGCCACCGCAGCCAGCCTCTTTATGTCCACCCCCCAGGCTTCCACAATCTCGTGATGCCCGACGAGGGGTTTTACCCCAAACGACCACAGCATGTGATCAAAAAGTGCAGCCACCACAGTAGCATGAAATGCATTCCCAATGGCTGCACAGCGCTGGTCCTCCAGCTTCTGCCTTTCTTCTTCTGACTCCGGTGGCTTGCGAGCGAGGTCCATGGTGTGGCCTCTCTTGAACCCCATGAGTACCTCTCTCTCGCAGGCCTTGAGAGGTCTGAGGTGTCCATCTTCTTCTTCAATCATGTAATCCCGCTCATAGGTGTAAGGGGGGTACCTGAATTGGTCCGCCCTCCACCGCGCCAGGCCTTCTTCACTGCTTGAAGCTAGGCCTGCCGGCGCCTTGGGTGGTCTTGGCCGCGGAATGGCCCTGGTGAAAGTGGGAAAGCGCTTTCCGCTGTCCCGTTCTCCTGGTGTCCATCGGCACCCCTGGCTCAGCACACTTGCCATGGGTTCCGTCGCAGCACCGTAAATCAACTCATCAAATAATTCATGCTCTCTCATTTCTATTTCCTCATGGCTCACCAAGTCCACCGAACACCAGAAAAGTCTTGGCCTCCTTGCTCTGGAGAGGTATTGAGAGTCCACCAACCTTGGTCTCATGTCCAAGGCCACGGTCATCTCTTGGATGTCAATGTCGTCTGGCACCACGTTTTCAAGAAAACGGATGCACCACATCCCAAGCAGCTTACTCTCTTCTTTCACCATCTTCATGACACTGACTGCATCATGAAACAGCTTGCTGCGAGGGTCCTCAAGGTGGCGCCTGTCCACAGAGAGTCGTGACAGCCCTTGGCATGGGCTGCCCCCCCCTACAATCACGCCGTTGGCATCAGGGATCTTCTTGAGCCATCTCTGGACCTGATTTCTATCAATCTTCTTTATGTCACTACAGAATTCCATTCCAGGGAAGCGCCTGCGCAGGCACCGACGGCAGTCAGGGTCTGACTCTACCGCCACGGTGAACCATGGTTGGAGCTGTGCAAGTTCCAAAGCTCTCTCAAGCCCACCAATGCCTGCAAACAGGTCGATGACAATGACCTTCTGGGCAACATCCCTGAAATCATTGCCCACAGCAGGGCTCATCGGCTTCTCTGCCTCCATCAGATCTTCCAGCTCCTCCACACCAAGGCGGCTCAGCCGGGAGGCATAGCACGCTCCCCCTCCTGTTTCTGAAGCATCACTGACCGTCACCACCGGGTCAATGGCTGCCTTCAGATCAGATGCAACCACTGGCAGAAGGCTCTCCAAGACCAACATCTCATCATATAAGGAAGTTGTCGCCCTCACCCGCTCGGGGTTCTGAGCTATGCCAGTGAATATTTCTTGAAGTACCGAAAACAGGCACCTCCGGAACTGAAGGATGTGGACTGCTTTGCCGGCGTAGATTTGCAGTCCGGTCCGGGGCATAGACACCTGAGACCTCATCCATGCTCCCAGACTCATGAGCTCCAAGCTCCTCTTGGTGCTAACCCTCAACAGGCCTTTCTCTCCATCAATGACTGCACCCAGACGTTCCGCCTGCCTGCATCGCTCGAGGGCCTTCCCTTCATTCGTAGGGATTCCCCACCACTCATAAACCTTTCTCAGCCGGGACTGTTCTTCCGGGGGCTTGCCCTCCAGGCTCCTGGCCACCTCTTTGGCCACCTTCTCAATTATTGTTGTATCATCTAAATAGATCGTCCAGGCCGGCGATTCATCAAGTGATGGGAACACTGCATCCTTGCGGATCTCCGCTTTGGCCAAAAGCCCTGCGCCAAACTTCAGCTCCGTGCGCAGCGCAAGTTGCCTGTGGGCATTCTGCATCACTGCCACCGCACTGGACCATCCCATCGGCAAGACACAGAGTCCCACTAGGGTCTCTCCGGCCTTGCCAGGCTCAAACAGTGACCAAGGGACGGGCTTGCGCAGAGCCAGATAGTTGGGCCACTCAGCAGGCAATCTAAACAGATAAAATGCTGAGTTGAGGTCATCACCACTAACCAACAGCTGCTCCTCAGGGCCAACCATCAACTTCTGAAAACTGGCCGCTCCTGTCAGGGTTTGGACGTCCCCTTAACCACACGGGGCCATTCCTCGTCACTGCACATGACCTGGGGCTTAGGTATCTCCTCCGTGATCTCTCGCAGCAGCAGATCAGGCCTCAATAGCCGGGCTCTCAGCTTCTCATCCACCACTTCTAAAATGTCTACAAGACCTCCATGGTTCGGAGTTGGAAGGCCAGGCCAAATTTGTTCATACGTCAGGGGCATTGCTTTCTCCACCACCTCGCCGGTGTAGGAGACTCGCAGGTGTCCAAGTTCTTGATCCCATCCTCCCTCAGGAGTCCTGGGAACACCGCCTTTCTTGGGCTTTTCATCCACAAAGACCTTGACCAACTCCCATATCCTGCAGAGAGCTGATTCCTGCTGTGAGCTGGCCGATCCAGCAGGTGGCCCCACGGCGTCCCTCAGGCTCCCTCCACTGTGGAGCCAATTGAGAGCCACCAACATCTTCCATGGCCTCTGCAACGTCAGGCCAGAGGGGGAGTGGCAAAAGGTTCCTGTTCCTCTCGCCCTCCACCCGAGTGGGCTTCAAAGAATTTTCCAACAACCTGCCAAACGGACCATTCAGGGTAACTGCTTGCAGTAAAACATATTGCCCCATCTGAGCCGCGGTGAGGTGGCCACCATCGTTTTCCGATAGCCAGGCCAGCAGCTCCCGGACCTTTCCAGATTCTATTTCATCTGCACCTGCCGGGCTGATGCTCCGCCTTGGGGGCCTTTGCCTTTCCCGGGGCCTTTTCCTTTCTGAGCCGCCAGCTGCTTCCATCTTTCTTTTCTTCTCCTCCAGAACCCTGCTTTGGGCTTGGGGGGTCCTGCTACGCTCTCGGACTTTCCGGGCTCCTCCTTCTGGGGGCTGCCCGTCCGACTGGGCTCTCTTTGAGCTGACTTCCGGGCCTCGGCTTCCTGAGCTTGCTCCTTTATCCTCCGTTCGTCGAAGGACACCCGCGCTGGCCTCAGAACCAGTGGGGCCTTGTCGCTCTTCTCTGAGGCTTGAGGAGGGATCCTTTCTGGACTCCTCCCACCCCTCAGCGGGCTCACGGGCCTTCCCGAGCGCGGGTCGGGCCCGCTGCCGAGTCCCTAGCCCTTCTCGGTGCGGCGCAAGCTTTCCTTTAGCTTTACCGCCTTTAGTTCCTGCCTCGTGGCCAGCTCGCGCTCCTCTGTTCTGACCAGAGACGCCATGCTCGGAGGGATGATCTCCAAGTGGCGGGCAGTCGCCCAGCTGTTTTCCCATAAACTCATCTCGCAGGCTTTGTAACGCTGCAGAAGGGTGTCTGTGGCTTGCGGTAACCGCCCTGCCAGGATGTGGTCGAGAGTCACTGCCAGGGTCTGCAGCTCTCTGACCATCCTCACCCCCGCCTTCGCTGGCGGATGAGCTCCTAGAGTAATCTGGTTCAAGTAGGCCGTCACCTTCTGACCCTGCCACCTCGAATCCAGATCCCCCGCCTCTGACTTGTCCGCCAAGTAGCGGGTCATCTCGTCCAGCGCCAGACGAGTGAGCTGCCCGGGCTTCTTTTGGGCTATCCTCCAGAGTTCGCTGCCCCCCCGGGCTGGGGCCAGCTGAAAACTCGAAGAGTCGCTCTCCTCCTTTGAGATGGAGGCTGAACTAGCCCTTTTTCGGCGCCTGGCCTTTTTCTCCTTCTCATCTTTCTTTTTCTTCTTCTTGTCTCCAGGCTCCACGTCACCTTGCTTCGCAGCCTGCCTGGCCAAGAACTTCCCCATGGATTCTCGCCCTTGTCGCGGGCTCCTTGACCGAGGGCTCTTCGGGTCCTTCTCCTTTTCAGGCTTGGGAGCTTCAGCCTCTGGTCCCTCACCTTCCAACAGCGCATCCAGACCACTCCCCAAACTGGGGGCTGTGGCCTTCTTGGCACGCGCCGCTGAGGACAGGAGACCCTCTCCCATGCGGACACCCAAGTCCTTCAGATAGGGCGTCTCCACCATCTCCAAAGGAGTCAAGAGCCTCCATTTGTCTCTGTGGATCAGCTCCCGATTGTCTCCCCGAGGCTTCCTCTGTCGACACTTGGATGCCTGGCCGGCACACACATGGTAGAGGCCATTTTCCAGCCCCATCTGATGCTCTGCGTACCATGAGTAGTACCCATCTGAGGCTGGTCCATGAGAACCGGTGAAAAGACAATTTTCTCTGTCCTCCCAGTCTTTCAGAGTGACCACCCCTCTACCTTGGCTCCTCCACTGAGCGTCGTAACACTCATATTCAAGGATCCTCTCTTCCTCGAAAACCTCTCGGGCCAGCTCCTGTGCTCGACTCGTAAGGTCGCTGCACATCACCCATGCCAGCTCCTGCTTCGACCGGCCCAGGCTAAGAGCCTGTTGGATCTCATCCTCACTGAGTCCCAAGTTGGCTCCATTACTCCGCAGCCGGTCCATCTCAAATCGACCTCCCTGCGTTCCAGCCTACAAATAGGCTAACCACCCTGGGCCAAGGTGCCAGCGGGGGTGATGTGACCTTCAAAATGGCGCCAGTCTTGGAGTGTGGCCCTCCCCTAAGGTCTGGGCCCTCCAAGAAGGCAGCCTATCCACAACCACCCAGGCAAGCTCTCCCTCGTAAGGTCTGAGCCCTGGGTGGCAAAGCACTTCTCACTGTGAGCCGAAATGCTGCCCCGGGACCAGACATGATCGTGTATAATTCTCACCTTAGTGATCAACCATACACTCTATTACAGCTCTTCCGCATTTATATTGTCATTAGCTAGTTATATCCCATCTTTATATCAATAAACTCCTTGTTTGGAGGTGTCCTAAAATGGGGGGGGTACGCCAAATCATCCAAGTAATTAGATCCTTTTAGCATTTAAATTCAAACATGGTGACTTGGGGATCCATTTTAAGAAACCCCCAAATCCCATGATTAGTAACAGCAACGCTAACTAACAAACTTTGTGGTAATACCAAGGATTAGTAATTAGTAATATGAAGCTGGCACCGGCATCAGACAAGTTTCAGAGACAGCACCCTGCACAGCACCCTTGCCCGCCAGATCCTGGACCCCTATGAGAAGCAATACGAAGCCCTACAGCTTGCCAGCTATCTGGGGAATGATAACTACCCGGCCTGGTAAACATACAAAAAACTATAGAAAATCACCATTTTGAATAGGTAAATCAACATAAATCAACTATAAATGGGGTATGTTCAATAGCTATTTTGACATAACCAGAGGGTAACCAATTTGACCAATTTTTAGTTTTATAGAAGTAAAGTCGTGTGGTTCCGACCGCCCGGCGCCTTCGAAGCCTTCGCCCTCCTCGGCAGCAACTGCACCAGTGGCTTCAGCCGGTGTAGCTGCGGCCTTCCCCTGACATTGAAGCAGAATCATCATGGAGATTCATGAGATATTTATGGGATTTAATGGGATTTAATGGGATTTTTAATGGGATATTAATGGGATTTAATGGGATTTAATGGGATATTAATGGGATATCAATAGGATTTATATAAATATTGGATTATGGATCAATTGCCCAGCATCAATGGATTCTTGGTTGCTGATTATCAATGGTAACTCTGAGCCACCATCCATCTAGTCGCTTCCCAAAGCTGAAAGCCGTTTCAGCGTTTTGGGGATGATCCCCTGCAATATCACTGGGAAAAATGATGATGATGATGATGATGATGATGCTTCACACATTTCCCTATAGAATCCAATGATTTTTCATCATCTTCCCGAAAGTTCGCCGGGTGTTGGGGGTGTTTTGGAAAATTCCCCCGCTTTTACACACCCGAAGATCATATTGATCGTTAAGCATCCCATGATATCCCATGCCCCATATGGAGGCCTAAAACTCAATGAGGCTACCCCATTGATCATCCATTTCAGATCGGATTTTCCATGAAATAAACGAAACAAATAAAGAATCCAGCTATTTGGGGTACTCCCATGTGTACATGGAAACCCCCATATGTAAACCATGATTTTTTCTGGTGCTTCGTCCAGAATGAGGCGCCATAGAATCTGGCCTTCTTCAGGCCAGGCGTTCGAAAACTCCAAGGAACCAGGACGTCCTGCGACGGAGTTTTTTTCAAGGGCCACTGTGGAGTTGTTATTATACCAACTCGAAATCTTAAACTTATACTACTTGGTGGTTTCAACCCCCCTGAAAAATATTAGTCAGATTGGATCATCATCCCAACTATTGGGGAAAATAAAATCCATGTTCCAAACCACCAACCAGTATAATAGTTGAACTTAGAATAAACGAATCAACAACCTTGATCAGTGAAGCTTAGAATTGTTCACGGAGCACTGTTGATCAGTTCAACCTTGGATGTTGTTGATTACTTAGAATAGTTTAACTAATCCACAACGGATCTTTGGGGGATGAAGCATTTGAAATACCGTGGTTACCATTGGTTATTATAAGGGGTTAGACTGTCCAATCGATTGATTGTGACAAGCCATCATAATTTGGGGGATACCATTTAATGACCTGACCCATAAAAAGCTCTTGCAGCCTTGATTTCATCAAAAAGCCATGCCCAGGGTGGTTCGAAAAACATTCAGCTGGTTGGTGGTTGAGCCCTACCCCTCTGAAAAATGATGGAGTTCGTCAGTTGGGATTATGAACTTCCCAATATATGGAAAAATAAAAGCCATGTTCCAGTCACCACCAACGAGTTCAGGAATTTTGTTGGAGTCACGGCAAAGTTTTCATGACAGCAAATCAGAGGGATTTCCTTCGTGGAGAATATTTCCGCAAGTTTCTGAGTCGAATTTCTGTCAATGCCAGTGATTTCGTCTGGATATCTTCCCCCGTTTCTTGGCTTGTTCCCAGCTCCCCTAACGTCTAGCAGGTCACCGTACCATTACCCGGTAATCAAACGGGGCGGAACATCACACATGTATACACATGATTCCACATGTCAGATGTTGATTGATTTCCCCAGCAAACCTCCATTTAGTTCGGGGATGTCCAATGATTTTCCGATGATTTTCCCAACAAAAAGCCGCTTAAAGTCTCAGCTGGGACTCCCGTCCTGGGCCACAAAGCGATGTCTAGAGCGCGAGCGCTCGTCGTCCTGCCTGACAGGCGAAAATCTGATTGATACCATCTGGTTATGACTAACAGTTTGCCATGGAAAGATCCACCATTTTTAATAGGTAAACCATCTATTTCTATGGGCCATCTATACCATGGCAAACTGTTAAATAACCAGATGGTAAATCGAAGTGTACGACTATCCCAGGACTATCCATAGCACATCTGATACTTGATGATATTTGCACCAGTTGTCACCTTGGTAGATGCCTGGCTTGCTAGCCATTTGTGTACTCAACTCTCAGAGGCCAAATGATGTTGGAATGCTCTTACTACTCTCCACAAATGGCCAACCCCTGGATGTGGATTCCCGGATTGGGGGGCCCCACAAAAGAAAAACATCGAAAAACTGTAGATGCCCCAATTACCAAAGAGTTTCCATTGGGAAAAAGACCAGAAATCACCTTGGGCCCAGGCTCGTAACTCCAGCAGTAAACCAACAGCTGACCTCCAACTCTGAGCAGGCGCCTGCACACGACGTGCACGCGCGGAATGGAGTGGTTGAAGGGATTTGGGGTTTTCCATCAATGGGGGTAACCCAAAATGGATGGTTTTTTAAATGGAAAATGGGTATCCCTATTTCAGGAACCCCCCATTTTGTTTCACAGGAAACCAATGTTGGTTGAATGTTGGTTGAATGTTGGTTGAAGGAGTGGTTTTGATCAATTTCAAGGCTTTTTTCCGGAAGATTTTCCCGGTTGATATCTTTTCTGGGCCAGACAGAAGCTGATATGTTTGTAGACCAGAAGCTGCATCACAGCGTCACTGGGGTCATTGACCTGGGGTGCCTGCCAGTTTTTAGCTAAAAAGAAATGATCCTCCAAGAAAAACAGGAATTTTCTTTTTAAAGAAGGGACAACCACCGGAAAAAATATTCCAACTGTTCAATTCACATGTGTCAAATTTGCTGATTTAACCCATTTGGTGGATCCAATGGTAGTTGCACCCCGCTTTTTGATTCGGAAATTATCAGTTAAATATCCAGATAAAGTTCTAAACGGCAGAGCGCTTTCGGACAAGGAAGCTTCGAAGCAGAAGTCCCCGCATGTCAAGTTTAGATATATGCACATAAAGACGTCCCTCAATTAAACATGTTCTGCATTGTATGTCCCACTATATCCAATCCTAAGTTCCAGTCCCATTTTATTTTAAAAAATGACGAGTCACATGATATCCACATGATATCCACATGACATCCTCAATATGGTTCCTAAGAATCTCAGAAAATGCCCACCATGTCCCATTCATATGATCCCCACAATGTTTGTTTCTCATATCCCCATGTCTTCCCATGAACATCGACGAAAATCCTATGGTAATCATGGCAAACGCCCTTTTTTCATGGATGATTTTCCTCATTACTTGATTCTTCTCCCATCATATCACCCCAAAGTGCCACTATATCCCATGATTTTCCCCTGAGTTTGCCATTCCTCAAAGTCCCTTAAAAAAAAAAACAGCGCCCTGGGTTTTCCGCACGCGGCTTCTCGCAGAGCCTCCAGGGTCCCCAGGGTCCCCAGAAGGTCCCGAACCAAGCGAATTTCATGGATGAAGCTGCCAATATATGGGGAATTACTGGGATTTTATGGGATCTAAGGGGACTCCTGTTGACCACGATGACTTTCAATGGATTGATTTCAAGGCAATCTTACTAGGAAATGAGCTGTTCACCGACAAATATCGTCTGTTTTCTCTGGATGTTCCCCTTGTGTAAACCAACTCTAGGATGGTTTTCATAAGTTTCTTCAAACAACATGAAAGTTTTCACGCCTTTGATCCGGGAACGGAAAAAACTACCAAATTTTCATCAGTTCATCCTTACCTAAAAACAGTTTCTTTTCTGATTATCATATACCCTCTGGTTATTTAACATAGCCATGGAAAATGGCCCATTTATAGATGGTTTACCGTTCTTAAAAATGGTGATGTTCCATGGCTATGTGGGTCATAACCAGATGGTATATACACACATATTTGGGAACAGCAACCAGCCCACTTAAACCCCATGGTTTCGAATGGGGTCCCAAAACCCAGCCACGATGCCACTTTATGATAGCTGCAAAGACCAACATGTGGCCAACTTCGAACAATCATAGGGAGGATGCATACATATTACATTCATATTTATATTTATTTATATTTATAGTTAGATTTATATTCATATTTATGGTCATATTCATATTTATATATTCAATTTATATTTATATTATATCATATCATATGATATTATATTATATTATATCATATCATATCATATTATATTACATATTATATATATCTACATATATTAAAAATACATATATATATATACTTATGTATACATTAAATACAAAATAATATATATATATATATAATCATATCAACCATTTTGAAACCCTGGGGTCTGGGATCATTATCCCATGTTTGGGGAAAATAGAAAACATCTGAAACCACCAAACTTGAGGATCATTTTTTTTTAATACAAATCACCTCGATACCCAAATGCGTCCCAAAAACGAATGGCCAGAAAACATAGGACACCAGCAAACGTCGTCACTAGTCATACCCCTTGTTTCGAAGTGTCTTAGACTATATGGCCATGGCTCAAAATGTGTAGCCCTAAAAAAATCGGAGAGTTACCAGCATAACTTGCATTTATTTTTGCCCATCAATGTCCCAATATTACAATCCACGTTAATTTTTGACGATCAAACCCCGTAGTCATTCGATATCATATATACCATCTGGTTATTTAACATAGCCATGGAAAATCACTATGTTTAATAGGTAAACCATCTATTTCTATGGGCCATCTATAGCATGGCTATGTTAAATAACCAGAGGGTACGGTATATATATATATATACCGTCGTATTCCCATTAAAATCTCCCATCATCGTGAGCCAAGCCCTTCAAGAAAAAAACAACCGCCTGTATTCGACGCGCAGGGGTCGAAAGGTGGTGTAGCACCTGCCGAGCGAAAATTATGAGAAAAGGCGACAAAAGAACACGATGATACCCTCTGGTAAACTGTTACATAACTATGGAAAGATCCACCATGTTCAATGGGTAAATCCAGTATTTCTATGACCATGTTCAATAGCTATGTTAAATTACCAAAGGGTAAAAATGATTGTCATGGCCCTTTATAACAAAAAATATATATATATATATAGATATATGATTTAAAAAAGAGTAGCCTGTTTTGGAACATATGATACAACTGATGATTGTTTTCTAGAATTTCCCAAAGATGAAATATCTGCGTTGATGATTCATAAGTTTCTATCATCATCTATGGTGAGCTTGGCGTTCAATCGGAAACCACGGCCCCCAAGTCGGCCACGTCAACCATCCCCATGTTTTTTGAGATTTTATAGCTATAACGGCTATAATGATCAGCAATCATATCCCACGATATGTCCCAAAAGTATTATTGGTTAAACTTCCCAAGAAGAAACACTAGATTCTCATTGTATCACTTTATGAAGAACCCTTATCCCATCATATTCCCATTATGTATCCCATGCTGCTCAGGACATTCCCTCTACATCCGTCTACATCCCAGTATACATCTCCATCTTCTCTTTGTTCGATGCCCCACATTGGTTAGTCCAAAAAATGGTACACTCCAAATGGTAACTTTGATAAGGATAAAACGTGGTAAACATTGATAAACCATCAAACTTGGAAAAAAAGCACATCTCTTCCACCCAATGCAACTGTCCCCCACGGTCTCGCACCGCAATGGACAGCACCGCGTCGAAGATACCGGCGCGCAGCGGGGTGGTCAGACAATCTGCCACCTACCGTGCTTTTGTGGTTACCCCAGAAGATGGAATATGGGGTCACTAGACTATATTGGTGGCCATATCATATACTCACTTGTTAATTGGATGAAAACTATAATTTAAGCTGTTTGATTCAAATAGAATTCGAACTTCTGGAACATGGCAGCTAAGCTATGCTTTCCAACCTTCAAATATGATTCAAAAATGATCATGGTATTAAATAGGAAAAGGTAGATTGCCTTTCCAATTAGCAGGACACTCTGTGTCGGAAGTTCAAACAATGCAAACGACCACCATGTCAATCTTTGGATATGATTGCCTCCATGTCCATGTCTTGTTTAATGTTCCCAGGCTTTTCAGATGCTAAAAACAGGTTTTTGCTTGCCTTATCTGATCCGAACTTCCTACAAACATCCCAGCTTTCATTGCTTGTTCTTCATCCCAAATTCTTCAAGGAATCTTCCAAACCCCAACTCATGATGTTAGTGATGCTGGTTGGAGGGAGGTTATAAATCCCTTTCTACCCCACTAATATGGTAACCCCTAGATTACAACCCCCGCACCTTTTACCATTTTGGGCGATCAAAAAACCCTATCAAAGCTTACATCCTTGATTAGTTTTAGTACACCCCATAATTTCCATAATGAACCATCCACAATTCCGGTAGTAAAATTAAGCATGTGTATATATATATATATGTATACATGTGTTTTTTATGGTCTGTTTTTATGTTGGGATTATATCACCATATATGTGGTTTAATAAACCCGCAGCATCATTCCGGTAGCGTTTATGTTGGGATATATATATAATACTTGACATAATAATTATTCTTATTATTGTCACTATCATTATTATTACTATTACTGTCATTATTATTATTATTGTTATTATTATTGCTATATTATATACATGTATATATATATAATTATATATATATTGTTAAATTACAATAATTCACCAACCTGAATTAAAGCCATTTGGGGATGATTTCCCTTATTAACCATGATTCCAGTGAGGTCGCAGTGAGGTCGTCATAAATATTCATTATGGTATGAAATGAGCCGCGTGGATGCCAAGGAGCCATGCAGCTGGCCCCATGCTCCTGCCGAATTTTTTTTGGGGGCTGAAATTTTGTGAAGAAAAATGGGATACTGATGAAACTCCAAAAAAATGGAGAAAAATGGGGCTGTTTATGGGATTCCAAAAACAAAGGAAAGTGGCTGAGTGCATCCTTTTTTAGGGGAATTGAAAGATGAATAGATATTCCTAGGGACTCAACTAGACCCCCTTTCAAGGTGACCATTGCGACCCTTGCCGCTAGTTCTTGGTTACTGTTAACCCAAAACAAGTCACATTGGGGGCTGGTTGAATCCCTATGCTGCATGCTACAGTTACATTAACAAGCAGCAATTGACACTACCACATTTGGGAATGGTGCAGTTACCACCGATTCGATCGTACCAGGGCTAGTCTATTCCCACATGAACAAAAAAGACGTGAAAATTAGAGCGAAAGAAAACGATGAGATGGCAAAATTGTAACATCACATCACTCATGTGGTACCCTCTGGTAAACTAATATAGCTATGGAAAATCACCATTTTTAATGGGTAAATCCACTATAAATAGCCATTTTCAATAGCTATGTTAGTTTACCAGAGGGTAATAAACCATTCCCAAGTCATCACCATTTTTCATATGTTTACCATCCCCACATGGTCGTTGGATTGGCATTGGATTGCCCACATGATTACCATCATTACCCATATATTAACCATATCATTAACCAGATATTGCCCATAGATTAGCCGTAGATTCACCAGCTGTATATCTCATTAACAGCTAGCCTTGGGTAAACATCCAAAAAGATGGTGCTTTCCACCCCATGGCCCCATGGCTGTTGTGCTCCTCTGCGGCAATCCGCGCCAAGGGTGCGCTGATGTCCTGGGCAATTTATCGGATGAGGGATTAGCAAAAGGGTATCTGGTTGGTGGTTGGGCCCTACCCCTCTGAAAAATGATGGAGTTCGTCAGTTGGGATTATGAACTTCCCAATATATGGAAAAATAAAAAATATTCCAAACCACCAACCGGGTATATATCATCTAACCCAATTGGTCAATTAATCATCTAATTTCAAAAGGGTATTCTCACCATTTGCCCACTCAGCCCAATATTCGAAATTAAGGTGAATACCCTCTGGTAAATTGACTGCTATGGAAGCCCTGGCCCATTTAGTTCGACCATCGACCAATTGAAACTGGTAGTGTTCGTAGTCAACTGTATAGATGATCTGCACATGGTAAATATATAAATAAATCTCACGGGAACAATCCATAGATATGTACAGATCTGGGTAAATTCCAATATTTCCCTTTTTTCTCAAGGTCCGCCGTACCTCTGAACTAATATTTCCCAAATAATGTTATGTGTATATATATATATATATGTGTATACATATATATATATATATGGAACATTATATGGAAAACATGATAGTATATATATATATCATATCTATGTATGTATATATATATACCAAATAATTTTCCATAATATTAGAACTTAGATAGAACATATCTATATAATCTCACCATCTAATAATTCTATAGCTCGCTGAGTTTCCAGGCCGATGCCACAGCAAAGCCACAGGCTTCCTTCACATGGGGCCTAGGAAGTCACCATGGAGTCGCTGATGTGGCAACACCGATTTTCATGGGATGGAATGGGAAATATAAATATATATATATATATAGAAAAACATACTAAAATATGGTAAAACATTGTAAAATATTGGGAAATCTCATAGGATAAAAGTCATGGGAAAATGCTCGATGTATATATATATATATATAATTATAATGGGGATAGAATGGGATTAGCCAGCAATCTACCAAGTTTATGAGGGATTTGATCAACAAACATGGCTTCATCATTTAAACCAACCCAAATGACATGGCTTCGTCAACAAAAACCATGGCAGGTCACAGGAAAATTTGAGGTATGGGTCCAGTCGCTGGGCTACGGTTTTGTCAAGCAGTTTGTTCAATGGAGGTCCCAAGCTACACCAGTTTGGATAATATGGTCAAGTCAAGCCCAATGACTCTTGGACACTGCGGATTCCATTCGGTCTTTCGGAGGCTCGGGCTGTGAAAATCGGAGGTTTGTCCCTCAACTATGCTGGGTGACCACCAAACTTGGACGGGTTTCCCATCATTTCAGAGCAACCCACAGGCGCACCAAGGCGCCCCGCAGGTTCTTGCCATTGCCTCAGCGAAAAAAACGGTCCTAGATATGGGTCCCAAAAGTGAGGCATTGATGCCAACAAAATACCATTGAGGCTCAGAACTACCATGGTTTCCGTGGCAAATCGATCCTTTTTTCACATCATACTGTACATGTTGCTTCATTGAATCCGCCAAAAATCCCTATGCTTTGTCATTTTTTTCACATGAAGATTTGGGTGCCTATCTCATCACGAAAAATCTTGTTGCCTATCCCCGCGGTATCCCCGGTAAATCTCCACAGGACCAAACACAAAAAGGGGCCGTGTAGAAGGTGGATCCAAGGAGATCTTCCCGATATGTCCAGTGACATCTTCGTAAAAATCGATGTCGAAGTTTAATGATATTCGAAAAACAGATTGTGACATAGTATAACGCTACCTTTATATATATAACATATCATAACACTACCTTTAACAGTTATCCTACCATGTTTCAATGTTTTGTTCAGTCTTTTCCTGGAAAACTACCAGAGCTACGCTGCTAACATCAGCAGAAATGACCTCTACCATCAGGACGACATCACCTTTGGGTGAAAAATCCCTAAAGCCGAAAATCAGTTATTGATCCGAAAACTCTTCCATCATGAATTACATATATTACATATATATATATATATAACATATATATTATAATATATATATAATGTATGTTTGTTGCCCCCAAAAAAACTGCCCAAAAAAAAAACTATTCTGAAAAAAGACTTGATTTATATACCTAGTATCACCAAATTACAAAGAAATTGTCATTGCCAATAATCATGTAACATGTTGGTAAATTACACATACTCAAATAGTGATTTGTTACTGTTCTAATGAATTTTGGTAATATCAGGATTGCAAAATCCAGTGAATATGTATATAATATAATATATATATATATATTTGCTGAAAATCGAGGTTAGCTACTAGGAGTCAAGATACTATACACATCGACCCCAAATATAAATATACACCCCATATAATCAATTGCATTCAAAAGTATAAAATCGAACATGTCGATTTAACCAAAAATAGATTCAAAAATCAATTGATTGGTATTTTGATATGTAAACATATGTGGATTTCTAGGAATTATTGTACAAAAAACTGTGGTCCACCGAAGAAAATTCCACCATCCCCGATCCCCCATTAAGAGGTGATAAATTGGCTATAGCCCTGATGTAAAATCACCCCCGAAAGGTTGATTTATGGCTGGTTTACTATTGGATATACCATGAATAATGATGAAGGAATGATCATGTCATAAATAAAATATTGATCAAACTATATCAAACTTATTTTGGTGATTGATGATAATTAGACTGATTGGATGTAATTAAGATCAATATACATGGTGTAAAATCACCAAAATGATAATGATCATAGTAAATTATCAGATTCATTGGATGATCATTGTTCACATAATATGCCATCACGCCATCATCCCATCATGCCATCAATTATGATCCCAAATAAATCTGGCACATAACTTATGGGATGATCATGAATTCATGGGATGGTCATCAATGATGATCAAATTTCTTATACGGTATAACTGGATTATAATAATTTCCAAACAATTCTGATTTACCATGGTGTTATTTTTTTTATAACTTACTTGGGTTCAGAACACGAAAGGGAAAAAATTAGGTGTTATAAAATAAGAACACCATTTATAATCAATTAATCAATGTATCATCAATCATCATGGTTAGAACACCATTTGTTTAACCCATTATCAATGATTCA